TCTGTGGATCTCTTTGGTGACACTCTCTAAAGTGTCTAGACAATGAGTGTTCCTTAAGACCTTTTTTGATGTTGCACATTGATATCCATAAATTTATATGCAACGTCTCAATAAATAAATAGTTTATACAGAATCCTGTAATGACTAGACCTCCTACTATAAACATTAGTAAAAACTCCAAATCTCAGAAACCCCTCCCTGTTCAACCTTCCTGCAGGTAATAATCCGCACATAACCACATTTAAAAAATGTTACTCAAGGATCTTGCATAACTCCAAATTAAACAGGTACATCAATCACATGCTGTCTCTAAAAGTATCACTATCCTTTTAGATAAAGATAATAATAAAGATTTGGTCATTCGACCAACTGACAAAGGCGGTGGTGTAGTGGTCCTGGATAAATTGGACTACATCACAGAAGCACATAAAATACTTACCGATGATTGTACGTATCAGACCCTTCCAAGGGATCCCACTCTGACTCTGAAAGAGTTTAATGAAAACAGGCTACAAAGAGGGGGTCATCACTAAGAAAGAAAAAGAGTTCTTATGTCCCTCTGCTCCTAAGATAGCTGTTTTCTACTGGCTATTTAAAATTCACAAGGACCTGGTAAATCCCCCAGGTCGTCCAATTATTAGTGATATCGGTTCTCTGTTTTCCCGGGCAGGGGAATACATTGAAACATTTTTACAACCCATTGTCTACACCACTCCTTCCTTCTTAAAATATACCAAACAGGTTTTACAGGATATCCAAAACATAGCTATTAATCCCAACACATTTTTGGTCACAGCAGACGTGGCTTCTCTGTACAGCAACATCAAACATGATGATGATTTGGAAGCTTTCGGGTATTACCTCCGTAATACGAAAGAGCTTAGCGACCCTCATAAATCATTTATACTTGTTATTGGATATGGCTATGTCACATAACTATTTCTGGTTTAATAAACAATTTTATCTGCAAACCAGAGGAGTAGCCATGGGGGCTAAATTTGACCCCAGTTTGGATAATCTGTTTATGGCCTGGTGGGAAGAAGACCTTATATACGCGAGAGACTGGCCTGAATTGACGTTTTATAGGAGGTATATTGATGATATCCTCTATCTCTGGCAGGGAGATAAGGAATCCCTAGACAATTTGATTAGCACTTTAAATAACAATACTTTGAATATTAGTCTTACCCACACTGCCAGCCATGATGAAACTTTTTAGACCTAACATTTATAAACAATGGGACTAATATAGTAATTAGATCTTTTTTCAAGTCTACCAACAGAAACAGCTACTTACCTACAGATAGCTGTCACCACCCACTTTGGTTGAAGAATATTCCCAAAGGACAATTTAGAAGGATTAGACATAACTGTCATAACCTATCTGACTTCCACCTACAGGTTAACATCCTAAAAAACAGGTTTCTGGAAAAAGGATATGCTAGTCACATTCCAGAGGACACCATCTCTCAAGTAGCCAGGTTGGATAGGGCTTCCCTCTTCAACAAACAGACAACTAAATCTGAATCCTGTATAATTTGTCCTTTCGTGACCAATTTCTCGATACAACATCACCAGGTCAAAGACATTATGTCTAAACATTTTAGCATCTTAAATTTACAGGGATTGACATTTTAAGCCCCCATTGGAGGGGGTGTAATAAGAGAAGAGCAGTATCCCAACTTGAAAGCAAGTGGATATACCAGTTATGCTCCCTGACGCCCATGGGCCTCAATGTAGAAATTGATTTGAATTGTTTTATTGATAATAGCTGAATTTGTTAGGTAGATAATGTGTCTCTGCATTAAATTGCCTGCTTTTTAATTTGATCATTTTTAACTCATTCTATTCAATTCTTACTAATTCTATTAATTTTACTAGTTTACCCATTCTATACATTCCTGTTTTCCTTTGTCACCTTTTTTATAGTATGGGATCCACTCATTCATATTTTTGATCCCTGTTTTATTTATTTTGTGACATTGACATTCATTTTATATCCCTTATTAGTTCTCATCCGGGTCGGATTTATGATCTTTTTCATACTCTCACATCATCACACACCTTCTTTTTATGAAGCATATCTTGTTAATATTTTTTTTTTTATATACCTCTTTGCAGAGAGTGATTCTGCCTTTTTAGAACGTTTTTATAATGATCGTTTGTTCACAGCAGTTTTCTCCCTGTTTACATTGCTCCTTAGCAGGACATATGTAATCAAGTTTGTACTACGGGATCATGGATCCTGCTTTTCTGTGATCACTTCCTGTCTCCAACAAAATGGCACCGACCAATTTAGATGGTGTCCTGCAGGCTATTTAAACACAGTCTATCCATGACGTTGGCTAGTAAGCGTGCCCTTGAAGACGTGCATGCGCATGAAACGCGTTGGGTTGAGCCTTATGTGCTGACGTTATGCCGCCGCAGCCAGAGCTCAGAGCGGCGGACATTTTGGTATGCTTTTATGCATTTAACTCTTTGCTGTGTCCACGTGGATTTCTTTTAACTATTTACAATAAATACTAAACTATATTGCCATACCTTGGCTCCTGTGGTGAGGAGGATCCTTTGCTGGTTTTGCATAGCCCTGACCCTGGAGAAGTCTAATTCCTATTTATGGCTTCCTGAGACCCCCCATAAGGATCAGCATTAACGCTATTATACAAGTAACGTTCTGGTGAGTGCACATCCATATAAAGTGGTGGATTCCTATGGTGTATTATGAGCACTCTTGAGCATCCCAGCTGGTATTGCTGCACCTTGTAGTTCCACGAACACCGGGCATTGCTGTGACCTGTAGTGCCACAGAATATGTATAATCACCATTATTGCTAAATAAGCACACATATATCACTTGGCACTTCTGTGACCTGCAGTGCCATGGACTATCCACTATTTATATTCAGAATTTTAGAGTTTTTTTTATGATTTTATGATTCTATGTGATCTGAGACATTTTATTTGATTTATTTCACTGGAATATTGTATGAACACTTCTATTCACATAAGAACTTTATGATTGCATTTGTCACCTATGCTTTAGCGCTGCACTTACATTTGAATTGATTACTGTGGGTTTGTTACCTTGCTTTTGTGCTAGCAGCTACCATATTATCTACGCTCGCCTCCTATCTTGTGTTATAGTAAAATCAGTCTGTATATGCTGTAAAGCATTCTTGATATACTCACTGGAAAACCCAAGTGGTTAATTCTCTGCATTGTATAAAAATTATGTTTCTCTGATCCTCCCCTTCTTCCAGTGCCCCCCTCCTATCTCCTGATAAGACATATTATGTGAAGACACTCTGAATATGCTCAGTTTGGTGTGTATTGTTAGAGAGGTTTTTGTTTCCTTGGGAGGGTGCATGTGATCAGCACAGGGCTAATCAGCACTGTCCTGATAGAGGTAAAGGGTTCTGCATCCTCCTAGAGCAGAAATAAAATTCCTTCTGCAAGCTTCAACCAGTGCTCTGCTGAACACTGATAGAAGTCACAAGACTGCTCTAACTGCTGAAAAGAAAAGGTATTTAGCAGTTTGTATTTACTAAAATAATTTAATTCCCATGGTCTGTGTACTGTGGGAGACCAGATATAGTGAATGCAGAGTCCTGGGTTTAGTAACACTTTAATTAAGCAACCTTTATTGGCTCTGTCTGACTAGCTGTCTGACTGTCTGAAAGCATGCAGAAAGTCAAATCATAGTTTAAATTTGCATATTTGTTCTGGGTCAATGACTTAAATTATGGAAATTATTGGATTAGCATAAAGCAGGACAAACAGTATTTTCAGATAACATTCATCAATGTAGATTTTTTTAATAATTACCATTCTTTACTGAATATGATTGACTGGCTTAAAAAAACGCTGCTCCTAGAGGAGTTTAGCGTTTTGCCTGTAGAAGCAAACTCCTTCTGTTTTGAGTTTTGGAGAACAGTTTTCTTGCAGAAAAAAAACATTAAATGTGCCTAAACACTAGTACAAAAAATTTTCAAAATGAGCGTTTTTTTTTTTTTCTGCCAAGAGCCAGTGTGCATTGAACCTCAGGGCTCTCTTCACAGGCCTAGGCAGGGACAGCTAAGACTCTTTGCTGCAGAAAAATGCAAAGGGCATGAAAAACAGTTTTATTCAAAATGGGTTCCTTTTTGTCTGTTAAATATACCATTGAAAGTGTTTTTTTTAATTTGAGTGAAACAAATATCTAATAATCCCGTAAGAAATTAACAGCTGTCCTGTTCAACCTACCTGTGTCATTTCAGTGAGTCTAACCAGCTTCTCCAGTTCTTTTAAACTACAAACCAATTACTCTATATGTTGTGGAGATAAGAGGAGGGATATTCTAGTGCAGTGGAATCCAAACTGCGGCCCTTTGCTTGCTATTTTTCAGCCCTTGGGGCACTATTCTTCTCACTGATACAAAGCAGTATTCCTTCCACTGACACCAATAATGGGGCACTATTCTTCTCACTGATACAAAACAGTATTCCTTCCACTGACACCAATGATGGGACACTATTCTTCCTACTGATACCAATGATGGGACACTATTCTCCCCAATGATACCAATGATGGGGCACTATTCTTCCCACTGACACCAACAATGGGACACTGTTCTTCCCACTGATACCAATGATGGGGAACTATTCCTCCCACTGACACCAACAATGAGATACTATACCTCCAACTGACAACAATGATAGGGGCACTATTCCTTCCACTGACAACATTGACACTAACGATGGAGCACTATTTCTCCCACTGACACCAACAAAGGGGATATTATTCCTCACCCTAATACCTGGCCCCTGTAAAGTCTGGAGAACAGTAAACTGGCCCTATGTTTAGAAAGTTTGGAGACCCCAGCTCTAGGGCAGTGTCTCTCAACCTTTTTTCAGTTAAGGCACTCTTTAACCACTTTCCGACCACAGATAGCGGCTTTACTGCGGCCGGCCAGTTCTGGGAGGACATCATATGACATCCTCCCAAAACACGCCATCCCACACACCCCTGGGGGCGCGCACCTGGCGATATCTGTGATCGTTGTGTGTCCTACAGACACAGCTGATCACGTGATGTGGTAAAAGGCCAATCACAGCAGCCTTTTACCACGTGATCAGCTGTGTCCAATGACAGAGCAGTGCCGGGCATCCGGTGCCTAGCAGTGCCACCCATCAGTGTCACCCATCAGTGCTGCCCAGCAATGCCACCCATCAGTGCCCAGCAGTGCTGCCAGTCAGTGCCCAGCAGTGTCACCAGTCAGTGCTGTCAGTCTGCCACCCATCAGTGCCGCCTATCAGTGTCCATCAGTGCTGCCTATCAGTGCCCATCATTGTTGCATATCAGTGCCCGTCAGTGCTGCCTATCAGTGCAGCCATCAGTGCTGCCTATCATGCAGCTCATCAGTGCCCGTGCTGCTGCCTATCATGCCCATCACGCACACACCAGTGAAGGAGAAAATTTACCTGTTTGGAAAATTTTATAATATAAATAACATTTTTTTTTCAAAATTGTTGCTCTTTTTTGCTTATAGTGCAAAAAATAAAACAGCCAGTGGCCAGTACATACCAGCAAAAGAAAGTTCTATTTGTGTGAAAAAAATTATAAAAATTGCATATGGGTGCAGTGTTGCATGACTGCGCAATTTGCACTCAAAGTGCGACAGCGCTGAAAGCTGAAAATTGGCCTGGACAGGAAGGGAGTATAAGTGCCTGGTAGGCAAGTGGTTAAAATGTTGCACCCAATTCAAACATTTTAAAAAGTAAACTAATAATTTTACATAATGCAGCAACATCCACACATGTAGGACATCCAACATTAGAGGTGATTTATTCTTACAAAGCAAAACATGCCTGCACACTGGTACTGACTAGTATTCCAATGTTTTTCTTCTCCCTCAGTTACTCTCCCTCACTCCGCTAAAGCAACCCCAGTGCTGAAGGAGGGAGGGGAGGGGCAACTGGTGACATCATTGGTTGTTAGGATGTTGGCGGCTAGAAGGTTGTATGATACCTTTTGTAATTAAAAGGCAGGCTTGATTCACCCACTTGCTTGAATACAGTTTTAAGGCAATTTTTAAGCATTTTGTCTAGGCACCCCTGAAGAAACCCAAAGGCACTCTTGTTAAAAAGGCTGCTCTAATGTAGCCAAAGACAACTGGGCAGAGCTGACACAATTTCTTGCAGAACATTTAATGTGTTGTCAGCCCACAGTGGAAATATAGGACCTGGGTGCATTTTGTGCTAGGATCAACAAGTGTTTTATGTTCCTGCAGAGTCCTTAAATTGAACACCCCCCATGAACATAGGCATATATTTCAGAGATTTAATGGGTTGTTTTAAAATGTTGACAGTCATTTCATTAGCATGACCCTGATTTCAACATGCTAAAATGAGCTGGATGCCAACAAGAAGTTACTGTACATTCCTCAATAGTAAGCATATTTAATATTTATTAGGACAGCTTATATACATAAGAAAAACAATATAGGTTAAAAAAATCCCTTACCAGGCTACTGAAACAGGCCATTTATAATATCCAGATATATAAGAAAAAATATCCAGGTAGCCATTTGCTCCCTTCATAATCCAGAGAGAACTAAGAAAATGTTAGAAATATGCTAAGAAAGAGACCATGCCTCTTCATTTTAAGCAGACGTCAGAGGAATAATACTGATAAATGTTACAGATTGAAAGATTGCAAAAATCCAGTGCAACTTTGTTTTAGTTCTGGATAGGGAGGAGTAGGGTTTGAACATCTATCAGGTTTTTAAATGTGTTCTGTGTGTATGATGGGGCTATATCCACTCAATTCCAACTGGGTATCACCAGAAAAAAGGTGGAATAATAACAGCAAATCTCTGCTCAAACCAAAAAAAGGTGTATTTATTGCAGTGGATATCATTATTTGATAGATTTTCCCATAATTTGTGTACCACTTATAGGGAGAAGACATACCCTTACCATTCACATTCCATTATATATGAATAAACAAATTCATATATACATGTAAAATGTTTAATTAAGTATCAAACGTATATCCTCCAGTCAATCTTTTCCTCTCCATATTTACTGTCATAATGACTTTTTAGAGCTATTGTATTCAATGCAGCAGATCAAAAGCACTGGGCTTTATGAGAGGAGTAAATTGCTCCTACTGGAAAGATTATTCAGGTTTCAAAATAAGTTGTGGAAATTGCTTTTTAGTCATTTTTGTTCTTTCTGAAATATTCTTGACTAACATTTGAACAAACAAAAAGGGCATAGAAGAGAAGGCATACAATTCTGACAAGAGAAGAATAAGCAACTCTTTTATATTTAATTTAAAATTACTTTGGTACAGGACTACAGTCTAATAAATAATCATTACAGACATTGGAAACAACTGGTGGCACTGGCTGCCTTAGGAGTCAAAGTAATGACTTTTCTTAGTAAATAACAGAGTATATGTCAAAACTGGAAAGCAAGGATATAGCATTTTCCCGTCGCATTGCCACACTATTCATGTATCCAAAAGAGGCTGCCAGTAGCAAGGCAATGATCATTATTAAAAGGTTACAGTGTGCATGAAGCATGTTCTGCTGGAGGGATGAGCCTAAGCTCCCATTTACACCCGAGTGTTTTGTAGGTCAAAGCTCAAAAAATGCTCAACATAAAGAATCACTTGATTTTCAGTTATGCCTGGTAAGGCATACTTAAGCATACGTCTGTGTAATGGTATCTGCCAGCATGGGATGCACAGGCGTTCAATGCATGAGCATGCCAGCAGTCAAATTTGGATCAGCTGCTGTGTCCCAATTGATATGAATGTGATTGCCTGCATGTAGATCCATGGAATCCCTGTGCATCCTAGTACAAACACAGCCCTTACACAGGTGTATGCTTAACCCCTTCATGATGGAGGGTAAAAAAAATCCTAAGGCCTGAACACAGTTTTGCAACTTTGACACGTTAGTAAACATGTGTATGTCATTGCAACTACTTAGTGTATCCAGGTGAATTATACCTGGTTTTTCTCACGACAAGTTTGACTTTCAGTTGTTGGTAAATGCTAATGGATATCAAAGGAAAACTGTCCCAAAATAGTAAAAAAATATCATTTATATACATTAAGTTGTATACAGGGGTGGACTGACAACTCACGGGGCCCCGGTCAATAGGGGATCATGGGGCCCCTGTGTCCTTATCCAAAATCAAAAAAGCCTATGAAAAAAGGTACCAGGGGCATCTCATGGGGCCCCCTACTGACTCCAGGCCCTCGGGCCGTGCCCGAGTTCCCAAATTGTCAGTCCGCCCCTGGTTGTATATTACTTGTTATTGCCATAGCCTACCACCAATGAACAACCCAAAATAAATTCTTCTGCTCCTGACAATTGCAGTGATACCACATACGTGTATAATATTTGTTGTTTTTATCCACAGTAGGACCCAGAAGCATTTACTTTTTTATCTGACTTATAACACACTGACAACGACACTAACTGACATCAATACTAATTTTTTTAAAATGATATCTCTTAATCCAACCTAAAATACAGGGATCCTGACCTTTGACTCTGAGCTTGAGCTTTGACCCTAACCCTAACATTGACCTAGATCAAACCCTGATCTAGCTATTTTATCTTGATTTTTTTTACTATTATTATTTTTACACACTATTGTTTACATTTCTCTCCTCTGGCATGGTGAAAAAGAGAATGTTTCTCTCCAGTTAGTCAATCAGAGGCTATCACAGCGATCAGATGATTGGGAGCCAGGAAGCCAGAGAGAGCCCAATCTGTGTGCTGGGAGCATGCTTCCACTTCAGTGAGGCTGCATAAATGTGTGCAGGCAGCAGCAAGGGGTTACGTATGCCCAAGTGAAAGAGATCTAATACCTGAACATAGTGTTGCTTGAAACTTGTACACAAGATTCAAGCATTTTTGGACCCCAATAGTCTTCAATGGGAATCCCTGAAAAAAACACACAAAACATGCCCAAACAAAAGAAGCATGAAAACGTCCTTATCTCCTATTGACTAGCTTTCTATTGGCTAAAAATAATTTTAATAAAAACCCCAGATGCCCACAAAAATGCCTAAATAAATGCTAAAAAAAACAGCCTGCAAAACAGCCAAAGATGCTCAGTTCACGTGTGAATGTAGCCTTAACTAAAAATTTTCAGTTGATTTTGTGGTCAAAACAATGCAGAGTACATGATAGGTGGAAATACTGTAATCGTATTAGGTATGTTCGCATTGACAGCATGTGCTAAGGTGCAAACTCCATTCTTTTTTTATGCTGTCTATGTCCTTACTGTGCAGAAGAATAGGAAGCAATGAGCAATCTCTCCAGAAACATAAGCGCATTTGTAATAGACTTAGAGAGGGTTGAAAGACACAATTTGGATGGAGTTTTAAAAGTAAAGGAGTTTTACAATAAAAGTACAATATATGACTGAAGGAACCATGACTGCACTACTTTCAGGAATGTTGTAAGGCCAAACAAGAACTTTCTCTTTTAAAGGAATAAAATGGATGCAAGCATGCAAAGTAATTCCTTGCTGAAGAATATAATGCGCGACAGCAGAATTTAATGAATACTTTTCTGATAGGCAGTCATGAAATGCATACATTTCTTTGTTAATCACTATAAAGAAATCTAGCAATTTGTGACAGTGGGATATTACAATGTCCCACTACCTCTAATCAGATTCAAACCTACACATAAAGATAACAAATGGAGAATTACAGTTTGACTCTTAGTGGCTGCAGAACAACATAGACAATTATTTTATGAACTTGCTACTGTATATAGCCTCCAGCATATCTGATTAGAGAACACCCATACATACAAGCCTTACATATAGCTGGCTGCAGACATAACACTTCCTGTTCTCAATGACACTAATTACCTGGACGGGTAGTCAAGGGGAAATGTCCCTACAGAAGACACAATGAGGTTCTGACACTTCCCCACTGTAAAATAAACTTTGATTTTTAGGCAGGCCATAAATGATGTGATTTTCTTTACTGCAACCAATTCCCCCATCAACACTGACTGTCAATCCCTCCTGAGGAGCTATTGTGTTCTCCTGATAGGTGGGAGGAGTGGTTGCAGGGAGCCCTCCCTGTTGGGAGAACACAGTGAATAGTGCTAGCGGCTACAGCCACTGGCAATAATCACATGCTAGAAATATGACATGCTGGTTGTACCCAAGTCGATTGATGGATCAACTTGAGTACAATCAGCCTGCTCATACATGGATCGAATCTCGGCTAGTCCCTGCTAATCCAGCTGAGATTCGAACCATCTAGGGCCTGCTTTACTCCTTTCTTGTCTTGTCCAATATCCTTAAAATGAGGAGAAAATAAATCTCCTAAACAGGTATACGTATAGCAATAAATAGATGACAGAAGATCTAACCCTATCACACTCTATCCAAAAGTCTAAAATGATTTTTAACTGGAGTTGGGTTTCAAGAACACTAATCAAAAACATCTTAAAGTATTACTACACTCACAACAGTAAAATCCGTTTGAATATGCAGTAAAGCATTCTTGTTTTATTCACTCTGGAACCTAAGTTGCTAATTATCTACATTGTGTAAAAAGGCTGTTTGATCCTGTCTTCTCTGATTCTCCCCTTCTTCCACTGTCCTTAGCCCATCTGCTGATAGTACAGAGCTCTAGGTGCCACTCTGCACATGCTCAGTTTAGTGTATATGGCTTATGTGTTTGGGAGGGTGCATGTGATCAACCCAGGGCCAATCAGAACTGTCTGGACAAAGGTGTAATGGATCATGCAGCCTCATAGGACAATCAGGGGAGAATGAAAACTCCTCCTACAAGCTTTAGCCAGTGCATAGCTGGACACTGATAGAAGTCACAAAACTGCTCTAACTGCTGATGAGAAAAGGTATTTAGCAGTTTACAGTATATTTAATAAAATAATTGCCATGTTCTGTGTACTGTGGAAGACCAGATATAGTGAAAGCAAAGTCCTGGGTTTAGTAACACTTTAATATTAATATAAATGAGTCTTAAAGTCATATATCCATTGTCATTGGAAATCTATTCAATTATTTTATTCGTTGTTTACATCCTCCTACATGTTGTGCTTACCCATATGGAAGAAAAATATATTTGAAATATATTTTAAAAATATTCTTCCCAAATATATAGACATATATTTGAAATGCTACAATTTTGGCTATATTCAACATATTTCAATAAATATAATATATATATACTGTATGTTGAAAATGTATTACAAAATATGTGAAAAAATATGTGAAAAATATTTTTAAAAATACATTTCAATTAACAATGTATGCCTTTAAACATACAAATCTACATTTTTGGAATTCATTAAAAAAAATATACGTTAAAATGACTTTTTTATGTTAAAAAAATCTTTAAAAATCTTAAGAATAAGAATGTAATAAAATTGCATTTCAACATGCAATATATATATATATATATATATATATATATATATATATATATATATATATTATTGCATGTTGAAATGCAATTTTATTACAAAATATTTGAAAAATATTTTTAAAAATACATTTCAAATATATTGTATGTCTTTAAAATTACAAATCTACATTTTTGGAATGCATTTACAAATATATGTAAAAATATATGTTAGAATGACTTTTTTATATGTTAAAAAAAATCTGAAGAATATATTTTAAAAAAAGAATATATTCTTAAGATTTTTTTTAACATAAAAAAGTCATTAACATATATTTGTAAATGCATTCCAAAATTGTAGATTTGTATGTTTAAAGACATACAGTATTAATTGAAATGTATTTTTAAAAATATTTTTCACATATTTTTTCACATATTTTGTAAATAAAAAATAATAAATGCACGTTTTTTGGGGGTTTTTTTTACCTGCAAAAAATATGCATTTATTTTTTGTTAAAAGGTGAATTTAGAGTAGGACAGTAGGTAAACCGAGATTTGAAAACTTTGGGACTACATTGCTCCGTCCATCACATCAGCTACTAGTACCTTTTAATTTATTCAATAAAAGTTGAAGCTATACTTAATACCTGCTGATCCTGCCAGTGTCCTCGGAATACATGTACCTCCTCTTGATTTCTGACCATGCTAAGTACAGAAGCCGATCTGTGCTAGCGTGGTTAGTTTGCATCCTTGTCTCTTCTAATGGGACTTACTGGATGCTGTGCTGTGGGGTGCCTATAGTCCCATAGTCTTTGACATCGCTGGCTGCTCCTTCTCCCCCCCCCCCTTCCTCCAGCCTTGCTGAGCTTGCCCATGCCATATGCTGTGGGAAGGGAGTGCCTAGAGATGTCAGCCATCCCTCTATCCCCACCTAAAGCATGTAGATGCTATGCTGGTATCCGGGGAGCTAATGAACTCCTGGGATTTGTGACATTGGCAGACATTGCTGATTGTTAGCTTTAGCTTCCACTCACTCCTTGGAACTTGAGGAGGAGAAGACAATAGTGGTCATGTGACCACTACAAAAAAGGTAAAGCAACCCCCCAGTATTTACCAGATTGTAAGCTCCAAGGAGCAGGGCCCTCCTATCCCTCTTGTATTGAACGGTATTGTTGCTGTATTGTCTCCAGTTATATTGTAAAGTGCTGAGCAAACTGTTGGCGCTATATAAATCCTGTATAATAATAATAATACATTTTCAACATGCAGTATATATATATTGTGGGAACTCGCTTCAAAATGGTAGAGCTTTTCTTGTTTAAGCACACAGCAACTTGCTTCTTTAAGGGCCTTTTGGCCCAATTTTATTTAAAAGAAAAAGTTCAACAAAAATGCTTCCCACGCAGGGGTATCCACCATCAAGCAATACCAACAAAGATTCAGCCTCTTGGCTTGTACGCAGCTCACTGTCTGTCTCCTGCAGACTCTTCCCAAATTATGGCCACTAGCACACAGCTAGTCTGGCTTCCACCTGACTCCAAGGCAGAGACCTCCCGTCAGCCAGGGTGGAGCCCTCCTGACTCCTGTCTGCCGGGGTGGAGCCCAGAACCATGGTTAGGCCTCTACAAAAAGGCCTGCACACACCTGTGCAATCAGTGTGCTGGGGGTTCTCAAAACACGGACCCCAGATTGGAGATTTCATCCCTCCCAGATCTCTTTGAAATCTCCAGGCTCCAGATCCCAAAACAAACTTAATGAATAAATGAGGAAACCGAAAAGTCAGTTTCCTCTGCAATACATCAACCCTCTGGAGCCCCTCAACCCGCCTGGTTGAGAATCCAGGGTTTTCAGCTTTATTTTGGCCGTGGCAGGACACCGCACTGCCACAATATATATATATATATATATATATATATATATATATATATATATTGAAATATATTGAATATGGCCAAAATTGTAGCATTTCAAATACTGTATATGTCAATATATTTGGGAAGAATATTTTTAAAACATGTTTCAAATATATTTTTCTTCCATGTGGGTATAAATACCTGTCATCATTATAGCATCTTAAGAGTCTTATAAGGTCCTGAATAATACAGACGTTCTCATAGCTAGGGTGACCTAGAACCTTAAAGTGTATTTATACTTTTTTAAATTTAAGAAAACCCCCAATTATATGTGTTCCCATTCACATGGCAAACAATGTCTTATCTTTTAGATGTTTCTTTGGCAGGGGCGGACTGACCATTTGGAAACTCGGGCACTGCCCGAGGGCCCGGGATCAGTAGGGGGCCCCATGAGATGCCCCTGGTACCTTTTTCATAGGCTTTTTTGAGTTTGGGCAAGGACACAGGGGCCCAATGATAACCTATTGCCCGGGGGCCCCTTGAGTTGTCAGTCCGCCCCTGTTCTTTGGTGCAGGACTTGGATAGATTACAAGATACTCTGAAAAAGTTTTAAGTGAGTCTGTTCCCAGACAAAGTTTGGGGACATACTGAGTTTTCCCTCCTTAGCATACAACACAGAAGCCTAGCTTTTAGAACTTTGACCCTTTGGTAGGATAGACAGTGTTCAAATGTAATTTACAACTACTAATGAGATCTTTCAGCATAGCACAGACAGCTTTAATTATGGTAAACCTTAACTGGCTAGCCCTCTTTTTAACACTGCATAGCAGAAAAAAAATAATGTTTTAAAGTTTTCAGGAATAGTAAGTAAAATGTAAGCAGCAAATTTTAAGTTATGCTATTTGAATGACTACATGTAACAAATATAAAAATACGTGTTAATCACTATTTGAATGCAAACATGTAAATACACTTTAATGAATCCAGTGAACAGCAGCATGGGGCATGGATGATTTACTGTGTGAAAAACAGATAGTGCATGGTAGTCATGTGCACATCAAAAATTTTCATTTCGTTTCGGATACATTTGTTCATTGAAGGCTTTCGTTTCCTCATATTCGTTATGTAGAACTAATTTGCTTTCAGAATTCATTTCGTATCTTTGGCATTTGTTTTGTATATTAGTTGATGCTGGTGGATTTGAAAAATTTTGCAGTTTTTGTGGAAGATTGCTATATGTTCGGATTTGAATCATAAGGATTCTATATTTTCGGATGCTAGTCCAATCCACCAAGAGAAATGGCATGAGCTGATTGGACACTATCGACTGTGCATCCGAATTAACGAATGGAATAAAATTCTTATCCATTCATTATCCAAATCATCAAACAAATTTGAAACATGAAATAGTTTTCTCATGAGCCTGAAGTACTATCGCATCATAAGACTTCGTCTGAAGGAAATGAATGCATTTGTTAATTTTTTTTCGGATTGGTTTACATTTATTGCTATATCCATTTGGAGATTTGCTTACATCAGAATCTCAGAAAATTTAATTTTTGTCCGAAAAACGAATCTTAACTAAAAGAAACACACGGAGTGGAAAACTTTTGCCCTGTATAACTTTCTCCAGTATCACTAGTACTCTTTCAGTTTTAAATTCTAGATAGCCTCAAGCTCAGCACTGCCAAAACTGGTAAATTGAGTTACATTTGTCATAGGTAACCACTGACACAGCTAACAAGACACTATAGCCAAACATTGATCCCTTGATTACCTTAATTGCTTTAGAAGCTGCAGCTGCCTCATTAGCCACCTTCTCATCAGCAGACACCAATTCTCTTTTAGCGTCAACATCCACAGTCTCCTTTTCTATTTTAATCATCATCTTCTCAGTTTCTGCTGAAGTTTTAATCAATTCTGGTTGAAGCGCAGTGAGCTCTTTCTGCATAACTGAAACCTAATACAAATTACATCAAGAATAGCACTGATTAGTAAATGTAAGGCTTGATAAAGACTAGAACATAACACAACAGAGGAGCTGACTACACTCACTCCCATTGTTAGTTCATTCCATTATTTAAACATTATAAGTATTTTTTTTCTTTGTACTCATTTCTAAGAGTTGAAAAGAAAGAAAGCATAGTCAAATAATGAATATTACAAAAGATAATAAAAAGCTGTCAGATACTTAATATGTTTTCAGTTTTCAGAGTGATATTACATCTTCCTTTTATACTGTCACAATTGACTCAAATCCTTTATTTTTCATTATTTTTATTGGTTTTTATAAGAGCAAGATTAGACATGAGAGTGAATACATCCATAACCTGCCACAAACAGAATTCATATATTGTATACAATTATAAATGCAAATTAGAAGTAATTTTAACTTCCTTCTCCATGTAGTTGTTTCTCTGACTATCCCAACAAATCTTTTATTGTATCAGCAATGTAATGTATAGTTTTCTGTTATTATCAGGTTATTAAAGTGGAGTTCCACCCAAAAGGGGAAGTTCCGCTTTAATGCATTGTCCTCTTCTCCCCGTTAAGGATCAGCACCTTTGGGGAGCGGCTACCCGAATTTGTCAGGTACCCGCTCCCACTTCCACTGAGATCGCCTAGGCGATCGGAAGCAGACGTTTTCCTCCCTCCCTCCCCATAGCCTTCTGGGACATGTGACAGGTCCCCGAAGATTACAGGGCCATGCACAAAGCGCAGCGCTTCTGCCACATGCGCAATGAAGCCGCAAGCTGTCACAGCCGGGTGCCCACACTAAAGATGCCGGCGCCAGGGAGAGAAGAAGTCCGTTGAAACCAGTGGTGGTGAGGACACCGCTGGACCGAGGGATAGGTAAGTGGCTCTATTTCTCTATTTTAAAAGTCAGCAGCTACAGTATTTGTAGCTGCTGATTTTTTTTTTTTTTAAGCTGGAACTCCGCTTTAAAGAGGGATTCCAGTTTTAGAAAAACACAGGTCCACAGAGTGCATTCTATACTAATTCACATATTTTTATAGAACAAAAAAATACTATTTCGGGTCTATTCACATCAGATACGCTAGCATGGATTGATCAATACATGCCAGTGCATGTACATGATATAATCAAAGTATTTCAATAGGAGCAGTTTATATCGATGTATGTTGCCCTGCACAGAAAAAATGTAGAACAGGACCTACTTTTACAGTGCAACACAACACAAATTAATTTATGAGATATTGGTATGATTGGTATTTTTGCAAATATTTATGGTGTAAATAGAAATATACTTTGAACATAATGGCAAGGATTTCTGTAGCTGATGTGTAAAGACATCTCAGCCATATGATAATTAGGTATATTTTGTGATAAGCTTCCTGACCAGTTGGGCTTGCAATAAGGCATTTTTCAGGTTCATAAAGCCAAAACTGACTGTACCCAATGCAAACAGTTGTAGAAAATGTTCTTCAAAAGAAGCTAAAGGGATTTATTTACTCAAGGTAAATAGGCTGTGCACTTGGAAGTGCACTTGCTCCAGATCTGAGGGGAGCATGGAAGGAAAATAAAAAATACAGCATTTTTGATTGCACATGATTGGATGAAAGAAATCAGCAGAGCTTCGCCTCATTTCAGTGCTTCCCCTCGGATCTAAAGCAACTGCACTCGCAGAGCACAGTACCTATACCTTTACTACCTTTATTACCTTTAGTAAATCAACCCTATAGTGTATGTGTACCCTTACCTTGTAAAACAACAAGGGTTGATTTACTAAAGGCTAATAGTCTGCGCACTGCAAGTGTACTTGTAAGTGTACTTGCAAGAGCACTGCAAGAACGCTTCAAGTGCAGTTGCTCTATTTATGAGGGGAAGCGCTAATGATTTCTATCATCCAATCATATGCAAGCAAAAATGCTGCATTTTTTTCCTTGCATGTGATTGGGTATTCTTGGCAAAGTGAAGCTTTGCCGCATTTACTAAGCTCTGGAGCAAGTGCACTTGAAGTGCACAGTATATTTGCCATTAACAAATCAGCCCCATTCAGGTTAAAATAGAAATGAAAGGCAAAACATTTGTGTATATACAAAAGCATTATAAATACCTTTCCTTCTTTATAAGTAGTCACATAATTGCTGTTTTCAGCTGCATAAGGAGTTTAGATAGCTGGGGGAGGAGAAACAGCAGCACACTGGTTGTCTTAGTGATGGGCTATGGGGGAGGGGGAGTCAGCAGAATTTTCATCATTGAAGGGGAGCAGGTTGAGTTCCAGCACAGCTAGAAAACTGGCCATGCTTTGATCTCATGCCTAGTATGGTAAATTTTTAATGGGAAAGCAAAGGAACTGTAAGGAACACCTGGTATTTCACACAAATGAAGAAATACAGAGAGAACAGGAAACTTTTTAACACAAGTGCATGGTACAGCAGGCACATATCAAGAATATAAAATGTTAGGTTTACATATTCTTTAATTACCATGATAAAGGATGTACACATTTGATTATTTTAATTCATGCAAGATCAAAGTAATCATGAGATCAGCCAATCAGAAACCCATCCAGTGTTGGTGACTGGCATTAACCTGCATATCAGTGGGAAGCAGGGGCGGACTGACCATTCGAGCACTCGGGCACTGCCCGAGGGCCCGGGGGTCAGTAGGGGGCCCCATGAGATGCCCCTGGTACCTTTCATTTGCTTTTTTATAGGCTTTTTTTGGGTGTGGGCAAGGGCTCAGGGGCCCCATGATCTCCTATTGCCCGAGGCCCCATGAGTTGTCAGTCTGCCCCTGGTGGGAAGATTTAACTACTTAAAGAGAGGATTATGGGAGGTGTGGCCAATGACAGGGGTCTCCAACCTTTCTAAACAAAGAGTCAGTCTACTGTCCTTCAGACTTTAGGGGGGTCTGGACTGTGGCCAGTGGGAGTAGAAAATGCCCCAACATCAGTGGGAGTAGACAATAATCATGCATTAGATTGATGAATAACTATACAAGAGTATAATAAACCTAGAAGTTGTGTGGTAGCCAGTAGAATTTTGTTTGCCATAAGCATAATTCAGCCAGTAACATATTTTCTGTCCTAGGGTGATACAGCTCACTCACTGTACTGTTTAATGGAGAGATAGCACTGTCACCCTACAGAGCACATCCCCCTCTACTTACTGCCATTACATTGGGAAAGGGAGTGTTCTGTAGCCCACAGAAATTAACTGAACAGGACTGATAACTGATAAGGAAGAGACAAGCTCACTGGATATCTGCCAGGATTACAAGGTATTTTTCTGTACTTGCAGCATTTTAACCACTTCCAGTTGGAGGTATACTTGGAGTTGGAGGTATACTGTATATGCGGCCTCTGGCGGGTGGACTTTAACACCGAACAGCTGCATATGTGAGTCCCTCTGTAAACACATGCGCTCTCCCTGCGAGCTCCCAGCACAGTAAGCAGTGGATGCATACCTGGGATTGGGATTGGGAGTTTTTCGATCGTGTGACCGCTCTGACTGCAAATCACAGCAGTCACATGATCCTGGCAATTAGAACCTTCTAATGGGGCTGGGGGGGCAGCAGGAAGGGGTAAAAGAGACAAAACCTCAGAAAATGTGGATATATTAGAGCGTTGTACTGATGTACTGGTTATAATTTTACCCATACATACACTTTCAGTCTAATACACCTAATCTACCTAACTATGTAAAAGGTGTTAAGTTATATACTTGGATAAAATGGGTCTGAAAACTAACTATAACCTGTTTGGTGCAGCAATAACAACTGCACATTATCCTGTGTTATTGTGCTTACTTGTGATGATGCAAATTCTAGTTTTTCGAGACCAACGAGGTATCGGTTCCTCATGGTGTCCACCTCATAACGCTTGCTGTTTAGTAAAGTCTTGAAAGTCAGGATCAGCTCCAGGTATGAGGTTGGGGTGACATAGTTGTGTGTCGGCGCAGTGTATTGTAGTAACTGTCTGACAGCTCCTTGACGCTTTCTTGGAAATATTTGCACATGGAAACAACCCTAGGACATTTCACAAAGCGATACATACATTTAATCCTTCTGTTGGGGAAGAACTGCATAATACATATACACAGCAGTATATACATTGTTGCTCATCATGAAAAAAGATCTATATAATACATATACACAGCAAGACACAATAATGCTTGCCACAAGAAGGCCATGCACAATATATATGCACAGTGAGACATAAATTAATTCTTGTCACGAGAAACACCTGGATAATACACAGCAATACATATATTTCTTGTCACAAGGAGGGCTGTCAAAATACTTCTACACAGAAATACATACATTAAAGCTTGTCAGGAAGCTTCTATAAATCAACATTGCCACAGTGAAGTGTTCCAGATTTAAAGGCTTTTTGGCTGCATTTGGTTTTCCAACAGTAAACAGAAGGTGTGATAATCCTTCCAGAAAATATGTTTTCCTGTTTTCCATATAGAAATTCTTTATTCCTCTGGTAGTTACAGAAATTATATTGATGTTAAAAAAATAAGCTTTCTGTGCTAAACTAGGCACTAAGCTCCATGCTAACATCATTTCAGTATTTCTATAATATATTTAGGATTCTTTTTTATACATATCACAATAATATAATATTGTGCTCAGTTTAAAGCAGAACACCAGACAAAAATGATAAAGATAAAACTGAACAGCCTTTTAAAAGATAAAATAAAAAAGCAGGTTTTATAGTAATATCCCCCCTCAGTATTGAGCCTCCCCTTCATCTGTTTCACAATATGTCCTCGGTCCAGCATTATTAAACCTACTTCCTCTAAGCCCAGACTGTCCTGGACCCTCCCCAGCCTAGGACTGGACAGCAAAACGAGATGCAGCACAGCGGTAAGCTGTCATCAGGGACGGACTGACCATTTGGAAACTCGGGCACTGCCCGAGGGCCTGGGGTCAGTAGGGGGCCCCATGAGATGCCCCTGGTACCTTTTTCATAGGCTTTTTTGAGTTTGGGCAAGGACACAGGGGCCCCATGATCCCCTATTGCCCGGGGGCCCCATGAGTTGTCAGTCCGCCCCTGGTTGTCATACTACTTTCTCATCATATTGGCAAGCTCGCTGTCCTGCTTCTTTCTCTTACACTCTAACTCTGCTGAACAGGGACTATAAGAGGCTGAGACCAGGTCATATGCAAGTACTTACACTGTCTGTATTAAAAAAATAATACAGTCAATGATGTATGAAGCATTACAGGGCGGCATTTGTTTGTGTCTTCCTAGAGTTCAGCTTTTGGGAACACCCACATCATGAGAACTGCATATTTTCGGTTAGCTGTATGGATTCTTCTATAAATGTAACATACGTCCGATATGCATCCAAAAATGCAACAATTTTGTATATTAGCACATCAAGCAAAAATAGGCTCTTAACATAATTTGTCTAAAAAAACACATAGGTTTTGATTTACTAAAGGTAAATATACTGTGCACTTGAAGTGCACTGCAAGTGCAGTTGCTTTAGATCCAAGGGGAAGTTCTGAAATGAGGCAAAGCTCTGCTGATTGCTTTCATCCAATCATATGCAAGCAAAAATGTTTTTTTTTATTTTCCTTGTATGTTCCCCTCAGATCTGGAGCAAATGCACATTCAGTGTACTTATAGTGCACTTCCAAGTGCACTTGGCGTGCACAGGCTATTTACCATTAGTAAATCAACCCCATAATCAGTTGTGTTGGTTCATGACTGTAAAAAGGGAGCTTCTCATTTAATAACAGTCATATAGACCAACATTCTTGTTAAATAGATGATTATTCTGTGAGTACGTTACCAGTAGTAGAAGGGCACCTGGATGAAACCTACAAAAATCTAATTATAATATGCAGACTTCATTCAGTTTTTTTTTTACGGTGGTAAATTAATAGAGGACCCAAGTATAGGGAACTGTGGCACCAAGATAAATCTAATATAACTATGTACTTCTCATACAGACTCTCATTACTAGTGGTAGACCTAACATTATAGCAATCTATATTGTGCGGTATAGTATCAGTGTATAATATATGTAGAATGAGCAGTATACATAGTAGTACAGTACTAATTTCAACTGAGCCTCCCAGAATGGCTGTTAGTTAACACAGTTAGTTAAGAATGATTGAGGCTGCTGCTGGTTGACTGCTGCAAGCAGTGCTAGATATGTATTTATTTATTACAGGTACTTATATAGCACCATCAATTTATGCAGCGCTTCACATATATATTGTACATTCATATCAGTCCCTAACCCTCAAGGGGTGTACAATCTAAGGTCCCTAACTCACATTCATACATACACATACTAGGGCCAATTTAGACAGGAGCCAATTAACCTACCAGCATGTCTTTGGAGTGTAGGAGGAAACCGAAGTACCTGGAGGAAACCCATGCAGGCACAGGGAGAACATGCAAACTCCAGGCACGTGGTGCCGTGGTTGGGATTTGAACCTTAGTACTGCGAGGCGGAAGTGCTAACCATTTAGCCACTGTGCTGCCTATAGATATGGTACAGACACATCACTGCACATAGTACTGCAGATGTCTACTTTACTTCAGAGCTTGTACGATTTTGGGAAGTGGGTTAGCAGCAAAAAACCTAACCTAACCACATTTCCTAACACCATAAAAAAAAATATCGTTTCTGGAGCAGGCAAAAACAGTACTAAGATTTGGGGTTTCATTATGAGTCTCATTATGGTTGACTCCTTCAATGTCTGCTGCATAAAAGTGCATACATAGGACATATTTCTTTAAAATTCTTAACTTGGTTTTACAAGCAGTTATTATCCATCTTTAAATTCAGCACTGAATATTGTTGCAAAAGAAGAATGGATTTAGCTACTGAAGGAGAAAGGTAAAGGGAACATTGAAAAGCTTCAAGTCATTTTCTTTGTATAACTGGCATTATCATAATGCTTTAATGTTTCCATGAAACTGAAAAAACCTATTCATATTTCTAAGCAAAATATTATACACAGACATAGTTCTAACAGGCTATATAAATCATCTATAATTACATAACACTTACTCTTTCCTAATGTCATCATCAAGGTCCACATCTTCCAAGAACTTGTTGGCCACCATCTCTAAAGCATCAGTTGGCCATGTCTGGAACCAATCAATGGTACAGCAGTTTATCAGTGAAGGAAACATGCGCAGTCGATTGCGGAAGGCATCACCGATAGGACTCATAGCTATTGGGCCAGAAACACAAATCATGTTATATTAACTGTACAATGTAAACTATGAGCAAAGGCAAGTATCCATAAAGTATATCTAGCAAGCAGTGCCTATAGATCAGGGGTTCCTAACCTGGGGTTTCAGGAGGTCTGTGAGGGTCAGACAAAAAAATAACATTTACATTCATTATATAGCCATTGAAAGAAATTAAATAAAATACACATTGCCCTTGTTTATTGCACCAGCCGCTAAGAGTCTCTTGACTTATTGTTCTCTGCAAAACCACCATCTTGTGCTACTACCATAATAACAAGTACTAATTCTCATTTTCCAGTAGTAGTAATAGTAATAGATTTGAGCAGGATTAAAATAGTTTTGTTTAAATTGTGCAAGATGATTGTATTTCATTTTTGTAATGAGTGGCCATTTCTTTTTGCATGAAAAGGGATGAGTTTTTGTTAAGAATGTTTGAATTGAAAGTATTTAAACTTTGTGCATGTCATATGTGTATTTCAGATTTCAATAAAATAAAGTTCATCATTGCATGCAAAGTTGTGTTTATGTGAACATATCTGGAGAGGGGGTCCATAGCTTTCATCAGATTCTTAAGGTTAATACTGCAGCTTACTCATTCATAGATGAGATGGCTGCATTAGTCTTCTTCTTTAGGCTTTCTTATGTTTAATATTGACTGGAGATCTGGCCAGTAAGTCTGTTGTTTTCCAACAGAACCAGCTCTCCTAAAATATATCAGTTAAGAGACAAACTATTTACCACTGACAGGGGTGTTTATAATGATTAGCTTTTATTTTTATAATTTTATAATGATTATTTTTTCTTTTAATGTAAAACCTTTATTCCAAAAGTAAAAGAAAAAACTGTTGTAACTGCCTATAAAGTGTAAGCTGGAGTTTGGTTTTAATGTGTTAGTGTAACTAAATCTGCTAGTCTATCCAATACTAGCCTCCCCCACAGATTAACAATGATGCTGCCTGCTGTGTCACCTTCTTCATCTAGAGTGGGGGCACTCTAATACAGAAGGTGTATTATCACCTGGTGAAAACAGAGGTAAAAGGGCCTAAAAAAAGGGCAGATCACCTGGTGAAAACAGAGGTAGGTAAAAGGGCCTAAAAAAGAAACTGCGATGCAGCCGCCACAACTAATGATTTATAAGTGGCAATATATAACATTTTCAGTTTTGGGTTTAATACCACTTTAATGCCAGGAAACCATGAGTGAATGCAGAGTTTCACAAACAACTGATAGGATGTATGTGTTTTGAGCTTTAAACATTGGACTGAAACTGGTGTTTCTTAACCACTTGCCTACTGGGAACCTATACCCCTTCCTGCCCAGGCCAATTTCCAGCTTTCAGCGCTGTCACATTTTGAATGACAATTGCGCGGTCATGCAACACTGTACCCAGATGAAATGTTTATAATTTTTTTTGTGACAGATAGAGCTTTAATTTGGTGGTATTTAATCACCTCTGGGTTTTTTATTTTTTCTTAAACAAACCAAAAACCACTGAAAATTTAGAAAAAAAAAATGTTTTTTCTTAGTTTTTGTTATAATAAGTGATGTCTTAACAAACCAAAAACCAACTGAAATTTAGAAAAAAATATCTTTGTTTCTTAGTTTATGTCTCCTTTCTAGAAGGAGCTGAGTATCACAGTCATTTTAAAGCTGCCTCCTTCACTGATGTGTGCTAATGAGGCTACAGTGATGGGAACTGATAGGCTGCACTGATGGGCACTGATGAAGAGGCATTGATAGGTGGCACTGATGGGCATTGACAGGCATCACTGATGGGCACTGAAAGGCAGCACTCATATATGGCACTGATAGGCAGCACTGACTGGCACTGTTATGTGGCACTGGACTGGCACTGTTAGGCGGCACTGATAGGCGCACTGATGCACACTGATAGGCGGCACTGACTGGCACTGATAGGCGGCACTGCGGCACTGACTGGCACTGATAGGGTGGCACTGATAGGTGGCACTGGCATTGATAGTTGGCACTGTGGCACTGATGGGTGACACTGAAAGGAAGTTCAGATAGGCACTGATATGTGGCATTGATGTGGCACTGATGGGCACTGAAATGTGGCATTGATGTGGCACTGATGGGCACTGGCAGGTGGCATGGGTGAGCACTGACAGCTGGCACTGATGGACACTGACAGGTGGCACTGCTGGGGCTACACAGATCATCAGGGCACACTGATCATCAGTGCTCTGATGATCTGTTTACATGTCCCCTCCGAGGAATGCCGATTACCGGCTCTCCTCTCCTCACGAGCTGTTAGCGTGACAGCTCATGAGGAGAGAAATGCCAATAACCGGCATTTCCCTGTTTACATGTGATCAGCTGTGATTGGACACAGCTGGTCACATGACCGAGTCAACATCTTTGGCTCTTTTTGTTGATCCGCTGTGTCCGAGGGACACAGCGCACCGCCGATCGCCACACTGCGCGCTCCTAGGGCCGTGCATGCGCGGTTAGAATGGGAGGACATCAGATGACGTCCTCCCAGAACGAGAGAACCGCCTTGCGTCCATCATTTTACTATATGGCGGGCGGGAGGCGGTTTAAAGCAGATCCATTCATTAAAGTGGAAGGAACTATGATTCCCTGAAATCACAGCGTGTCCTTACACTTCTGGTTTGAATTATACAAAACAGATGCAAATAAAGATACAAAAAGTTACAACAGTGCTTTTTTATATGACAATTACAATTACTTTAATTAATACACAGCACTTTAGCAAACAAAATGTCATTCGATTAAAGTGGAAGAAAAGTGGAATTAACACTAATCTCGGAATTCTCAGCTGTTGGCAAACCCCCTTACTTGGGGGGAGTCGGAGCTGTAGGATCATGTGACCAGACAGAAACAAATTAAAAAGATGGAAGTATACAGATTTTTTTTGCACAGGGTATACAGGATAGGTAGAAGAAGGAGGAAGGGGACACTTTTAAGAATAGTTAGTGTTAGGTGTTTCTTCCACTTTAATTCTGCTTTTCTTCCACTTAAATTGAATGACATTTAGTTTGCGAAAGTTCTGTGTATTACAAGTAATTGTTATTTAAAAAAACACTGTTTTAATTTTTTTGCATCTTTATTTGCATCTCTATTTTGTATCATTCAACCCAGAAGTTTAAGGACACACAGTAAGTGCATGGAATTTTGGTCCTTTCCTCTTAGCAGGTATCCCCATGGTACCCTGCGCTCACAGTTGCAAAGAGCAGCACTGACATTGTAACATCAGTCATGTTTTCTGTATCTTCAAGAACCATGCACTGCATGGACATCATCAGAGAGGATAAGGACCCTGCATGCTCAATGACCAGCCTCAAGATAAACCACATAATACCGCCAGGGGCTTCAAGGGAGGAAAGCCTGGAGCTGAACATCAAGTAACCCGAAAAGCATGTAAATTGTACACTTTACATATTTTATTTTTTATTAAATATTTCCTTTTAAATCAAAGGTTTAATTTAGTCTGGTGGATTCTCAAAGACGTTCACATCAGAGTGCTGCTCTTCTTCCTTTGGGAATATGTTATAAAAAGGTTGTACCTACTGCATATAACAAAAATCTGGAAAAAGAGTGTTGTAGGATTGCACAATATCTGGATCAACCTGAACAGGTGGAACCATGGCATTCATAAAAAAAAAATCTGGCAAAGAAATGCTGGTAGGTTAATTGGATCCTGTCTAAAACTGGCCCTAGAATGTGTATGTATGCGAGTTAGGGGCCTTAGATTGTAAGCTCCTTGAGGGCAGGGACTGATGTGAATGTATAATATACTGTATACATTGAGCACTGCGTAAAATGATAGCACCATATGCATACCTGTAATAAATAAAATAAATAAGTAAATAATGAGTATTGTTTGGATATCAGTTTTAACCCTTCACAGTACATATTAGATATGTTAGGACAAGTTAACATTGCTGTATTCTTACCTAACACGATGTGTAAATTAGCCTTGACTCTCTCGACGAAGAAGTTGTACATAGCCATAGGAGTAGCTTCGATTTTCTTCCCCTCTGTCCTAGCGATGGACTGCATTTTCTCAACTATATCTGCCTTCTCATCTGCTGGAAAGATGTTAGGGACATCCCCAGTATTCAACAGCATGTTGATATCTTCTACAAACACTTCATCTTTGATTTGGTGATCGCAGAACAGAAAGACTGTGTTCTTGCCTGCCACACCTGCTTGCAGCATAACTTTCTTCACATCATCTCTCCATTCATTTATTGTGTAGTTTTTTGATATTTCAATCTGAAAGAGCTCAAAGGAGTTCATGAAAGTGGCCAGTTTGGTAGCACTCTGTCTTCCGCTTCCACCAATCCCAACCAAGAGCAAGTGGCCATTGTCCTGTTTCAACACTCGACAAATTCTTGAGATATGTTCTATAGCAAATTTAAACATTACCAAGGACATTGGAGCTTTGCTGACATTATTAAATTCATCCAGATAGTATTCCATGACGTTTGTCAGCTGCTTCAGATCAGTGATTTCATCATATACTCTAGCGTCACTATCATGTTTAAAATAGTCTCCGAAGAAGAGGCTCCTAATATTATCATCAACCACTTTTCCTGTAGGCGCCAAGTGGCTTAGAACCTGGGGAAAAAAGATCAAAGCATACATGTAAATCCCACCCACTGTATACATTCCCGAAGTTAAAAATAAAAGAGGGGCCAGAAAATCAGCCTGGATGGATTGGAACTAGAATGTCCACCTCACCCTTTAATGCATTAAACAAACATTCATAATGTAAAGTCAGAATTTTTTTATTAAACCATTTACCTGTGTTGGCAAACTTCAAGACAAATTATTCCTTATTGCATTGGTGATAGCAAAAATGCTCAGACAGCTGTGTGCAATTTAGATAAATAGTACATTTAGGATGTGACTGTGCCATACACCATAAATTCTGAATGCACAGCTGGCCATGGATATACAAAGGGAAGATTTGCATTTCCTTGCATACTCTCAAAATGATATATTAAAAAAAATCTTGTTCGGGGATATTTGACTGAAGTGATGAACTGACAACAGCTATCTCCAGTTTATTACTGGGGAACTGATTGAAAAACATAATTGTCAGCAGTGTTACATACAAATGAACTTGCAACCACCCCTTTAATCCAGTTACCCCAGTCACGCTGCAATGTCAGGGGTGAATTGTCTCTGAAGACTAATCTGCAGCTAAAGCTTATCTAAATCCAAAAATGTAATTTAAATATATTGCAGTTTACCAAACCGTAAATCTAGTGGCTGTATTTGTTTTTTTGTTGTTTTTGGGTTGATTTTTCTTTCTTTTCAGTAAAAGTGGCAGTCAGAGTGTCGAGATACACCATTTAACACTGACAGGGGTGCTTACAATGACCAGCTTGTATTCTGTTATGTGAAACCTTTATTCCAAAGGAAAAAACTGTCACAGTAACTGTTTTAGCCTAGGTTTACATATGTGTGGGGCTGGTTTGCAGTGCAATTTCAAGCCCTGTCCAGTACAACTTAATTCAGTGGTTCAGGTGCGAATTAATAAAGTGTATAACACTAGAAATCGCATCTGAAAATCATACTGGACTCTTTTTGAAATCTCTCTGTGGCCAGCCCGCATATATGTGTATGTCTTGCAAATTGGATGCGGTTCAAAGCGCACCCAATTCGCATATAGAGTATGTGACTGGGGCTAAATACTGTTTTCTGGAGTTTGGATTTACTGTGTTAGACAAGTTGAACTAAATTTGCCAGTGCATCTGTAGCATCCTCCCAGACAGGTTGCTAGGTATATTTAGTGTTTGGTTTGCTCTGCAAGCAGAGGAAATGCAATTGTCTGGTCTATTCTGTTCTGGCTCTACAGTCTGAGGATTTGATTAATTTCCCCTGGCTCTGCTGGCAAACTTTCCAGAGCTCAGGGCAGGAAATGAAACTCCTCTGGCTGGGCTTTTGCCTTACCCCAGCCAATCCCTGGGGAGGTGTTCCTAGATGGTGAGTGGGAGGCAGGTAAATAACCTGGAGCCCAGGAAGTTTTGTTCTTCCCAGGCAGAAAGTAAAATCATGTGGTTCTTCCCTGAAGGAAAGGGAACTGTGTGTTTCAGGGGGCCGCTATGCCCTAAAGCCATCCTGACTGGTTTCTGGACTACTCCCTCCCCTGGATTGAACCCATGGCCTTGCTTCTACTGGGTGTGTGAGTAGAGCTTCATTTCCTGAGCTGCATTTATATCTATGGTCCTCAGCTGTGATATAATAAATTGTTTCAGTACTATATGCCTTGTGTGCCATCAATCTTGTGGTCTTCAGCTGCAAGATCTCAGACTGTTGCAGTCTGCTCCTAATGATTGTCCAAACCTATCCTGTGGTTGTCAGCTGTGGGAAACTTAGACTGTTCCAGTCTACTTACATGTGCTACTCATGCTCGGATATTTTTCTGGTCTACAGCTTACAGCTGGGAATGAAACAATGTGTTGCTACTGCGTAGTGGAGAGCTGCCTCTACAAATTCTGCATCTAATAATCTCCTGGTCCACATCTGGGAGTGAAAGACTATGTAGCTATCACTTAGGGAAAATGCCCCATACAAAATATGTGCCTTGATGTTTTGAAGTATCATATACACCATTGCCCTCCCCAGTTACAGGTTTTCAGCAATAAATCAAAAAAAGACATCCCCTAGACTGATTATTGAGCCGGAATGAGTGAACTGTTGCTGTATGCCTGGCTGCCTCTGCAATGTGTTGGAAAAGAAACTGTTAATGACAATGGCTCCTGGGGGGGGGGGGGGGGGGGGGGGTAGCACTACACATCTAACATCAACCTACTCTTATTCACTTCAGAACGGTTTCTCTCCCCATACAAATTAATGGGAATGGGTAATGGGTAAACTGCATCTGACTCTGAATGATCTCAGAAGCATCTTAAACTAACCTCTAATGTAGCCTGAATGCAAATAAAACCTAGCTGAATTTGATCATCAACAGAAGTTTACAGAGCACTGAAATACTTACCTGTCAGCTGATGCAGTCTTCATTCTGGTCCCACTAAATGCTGTACGCAAAGGCAGGCAATCAGCAATTCTACCACAAACACAGTTGTTGTAAAGTGACTAGTAAAGGACATGAAGTGACTAGCAGGACCCAAGGAGAGCTGCAGTAGCTGAGAGCTACATTTGTGCCATAAGAGGAAGTGGTTGATTAGCATTTAGCTGCGAACCTAAAGTCAATATGTACTTTTCTGTTTCAATATGTTTATTGGTTTTGACAATAAGCATAGAAAGTCTAAGACAAGCATATGAGTGAAAACCAATACAGACTGATCAATAACAGTTACAGTCAGGAATATAAAAAATACAAGGGTTCTGAAACTTGGGAATATACCAATAGGTTGAAAATGTAAGGAAGCCATATCCCAAAATTTTGCTCGCAGTCACCAAAGGGGAGGCTCTTCTCCTGCAGCCAACCCCGTAGAACGGTAAGTGCGTGAGCATAGGCAGGAAATAACTAAAA